ACAACCTCACCAATGTCAAGTTTCAGACTCAGTTGCTCACTGTAGTTTTGTTATCAGTCAAGAGGAAACAGTGATTTGTTGGGGGCTAGTTTCTGTGGTGGACTAATCCACCACATGGTGTAAAACCATGACCGGACCTTGGGCGGCTCTAGGAAGCCGTTGTCCTTGCCATCTTCAGAGATGTCATGTGCGTCCAGCAGGATGGTCCATCGGTCCATCAGAACCTCATCTGCTTCGTCAACAGAGACCAGGATGTGGTGGGGGTCCTCGCCGCTGTAGCCCGCGCCCCAGCGCAGGATACGAGCCAGGTCATTACCTGACAGGTCGGGAGAGAGTTTGAGGGCTGTTAACTCATTTGCACAGAGGAACAAACCGGGCTAGTCAGAAAAAAAAAAAAAAATCAATTGACTGATAAAACCAAGACTGACTGTTAAACACTGAAAAGTTTGATGAGGAATTAAGGAAATGAAAGTGTTGGTCTGACCTGTTCCCAGTGGTACAAGGCCGATAGGTGGCTCTCGACAGACCAGTTTGTGTCTGACGGTCTCCAGTACTCCCAGCACCCAGCCCACCGTCCCATCTCCCCCACAGACCAGCACCCGAAACCTGGGCACCTCCCTGAAGGTGTGGAGGCTGGAGCAGAGAAGAAGAGCGGGAACAACAGGAACATTTCATTTCTGATGATGGTACATGTACAGTCAAAGCGAAGCGCCCCCTAGAGGTGGCAGCACAGACGGCTTTCTGCAGTAATTTCATTTATTAAATGCGTTTTCTAGGGAAACCAGGAGAGATAAACGTGCGACTATGCAGGGTCTAAATGCTCACACACTTTTCATATGAACAACTGAGGTCAACATCGTAAATGACTTCAGGAGAGACTGTGTGGAAACCAGCATGTGTGTCCTCACCCAGCCAGCGGGCCCCCGTTGGAAATGTCAAAGACCTGGTGAGGGTTCAGGAGTTTGCGGAAGCTGTAGAGGAGCTCTCTGCCTTTCATCCCTCCACTCTTTGGGTTGACAAACAGCAGCAGAGGACAGACGTCGTCTCCCAGTTTGTTGTGCTGAAAGACATCGACAACAACCACTGAACAGAAACTACAACATCAGCCACAGTAAAAGTGGAGGTGTTGGGTGTGGTACAGTAAGGACGATAATAACCAGCAGGGGTGTCCACTAGGTCCACTCAGTGATCCTTCTGTTGTCATTACTATTACTGTATTACACATGCTGTAGTGCAATGGTAGAACAACAACCTAAAGGTCAATATTAATGTGATATAACTACAAATCATCAGTAAAAGACATTGACTACAACTTATAAAGGCTGCGTACCAGAACGCAGGACAAGTATTTAAATAACAAAAAGGTGAGCAGCAAGCAGTGGGCCCACGATGTATGGTCGAAACCAGAACGACCTACACCGACAGGATTTATGTTCTGTTGAACGTGGCCATAAAAATGTAAACGTCACTGTGTGACTTTAGCGAAACGTGGCTGCAAAACCCCAGCGCTTCAGGCTTCGTCTACCAAGATTTCTGGAGCTGTCGAGCCAGCACAGCCTCATGTTTCTTGTAATGTGTCACAGCTGTGACAGCGTTCGCACACTGTCGGCTCAGCATGGACTGAGTGTAAACAATGTGAACCCGTTTAGGATCAGTGTGTGGTCAGAACCAGGAGCACAGGGTTTGTTTCATGGAATGATAGTTACCACGATCTCCGGTATGACGATTGAGGTGAGTGCCTTGTTGTTGACGGACGTGTCTTTAGCCAACATGTAGATCCTCTCTGCTTCAGAGAAACACGAGATCTGCAGCGACACCGCACCTGAACACACAGAGGCAGAGAGCATGGTCTGCATTCACATACAACCAGATCTTTTCACAGAGGTTTACTAAAGAACAGAGACGAGAACCTCTTCCCTGACTCCACAGTGACTGGTTTACAGGGGACCGCTCTGAATAAGAAATAACATCATCATATTAAATGACACAGAGCTACAGTGACTTCAGGCTGTGCACACTTTATTCTGCTGTGCATTTATTTTAAGTGGATGAAACTGTCTCGTTTGTCCATCGACCAAAACCCAGTGAAAGCTTGTTTTTGAACATTTTTGCAGATTTATTAAAAATCAAAAACTCCTTTATAACAGTCTTCAGACCCTTAACTTGGTTTGTCGTAGAAGAAGTTGCAGCTTCAGAGCTTCTTGGTGAGTCCCTGTGGATCTTGCACACATTGATTTGGTTTAAATGGACAGAGGTCAGAGGGGACCTGTGTGTATCAGGTCCCACAGTTCACACTGCAGGTCAGGACACAAACCAGGACATGAAGCCCAGGAGCTCTCTGTAGACTCTGTGGCCAGACTGTGGTGAGGCCCAGATCAGGACCAGGGGATCACACCATGTCTAAAGCTCTGAGTGTCCCCAGGAGCACAGTGGCCTCAGTGACTGGGACATGGAGGAAGTCTGGGACCAGCAGGACTCTTCATGGAGTCAGCGTCAGACCAGACTGAGGAACCAGGTGAGAAGGGCCTTGGTCAGGGAGGAGACCAAGGACCCAGCGGCCCCTCTGAGGAGAGTTTCAGACGTCCTCTGCAGAGATGGAGAAGCTGCTGGAGGACGAGCACCTCAGCAGGTCTCCATCAGTCGGGCCTTTATAGTCGAGTGGCTGCTCAGAAGCCACTGTGAGTGAAAAAGACTCTTTAGAGCAGGAGGTAAAACAATCTCTTGGC